TCGGTTGAGTGTTTCTTTGCAGATCTGTGTTTGTCTTACGTTACACAACAGTTCAGTTTCTAAACACAAACAGGACTTTGACGTCACTAAAGACCCAAATAAATGTATCAGTTTTGGTCTGGGTTTGCTCAGCACACTGATGCACGTGATTCTCAAATATGCTGCGACACACCCACCCGGAGGAGCCAATGAAGTGTGAGCTAAATATTTCAACCATCTGATGAAGGAAATATTTTTTTCTTTCTTCCTCTGGGCACTCTGAAAGGCCACGAGGTTGAGAAATTCCCTGATAACTCTGGAGTCTGATAAAAACCTCTTTGAGAACCTCTGTGATTATGTCTAAAAGAATGCACCGGTGACGTCAGCAAGCGGGATTACGATAAGTCCTCTTGTCTTTAATAACCTCCTGACCCCCACAGGGAGGCCAAATTTCCAAACTCATTTAGAGGAAATGTAAGCAGCACACACTGGGACCACCTATGCTCACGCTGACTCTTTTTTTAAATCATTGTTTTCAAACAAGAAATTGATTCAACTGTCATATTTTTAAAAGTATTTAATCCTTTGTGTGTCAGGGTTAGGCTTCTTTTATTACTGGGAGATTCCAGGATAAGTCGCATCATTCAGTTCAATTTAATTTTATTAACACGGCGCATAAATCATAACAACAGCCGCCTCAGAGCACTACAAGATCCTACAATAATACAAAGAAAACAGAGAAAACCCCAACAATCATATGACTCCCTATGAGCAAAGTTCTTTGGGGAAGTGGGAAACAAAAACTCCCTTTTAACAGGAAGAAACCTCCAGAAGAACAAGGCTCAGGGAGGGCGGCCATCTGCCATGACTGATTTGGGGTTAGGAGAGTCATACGGGACAAAAGACATGCTGTGGAAGAGATTGATAATAACAATTAAAACATTGTGAGTGAAAAAAAGGTAACTGACGGGAAAACTCATTCATCATGGGCATAATGGCCTAGATAGTAAACTACTGCTGTATGTGTAGCATGTCTGGGTTGACACTTGGGCTGCCACAATGTCTGCGTTGTGCTGTGCAGTGTCAATGAAGAAATGAGCAGGTACTCTAACATACTGATAAGCCGTCTGCTGTTACAACAAATTTCATCAAGTTTCAGAAATGCAGAGAAATACTTAAAAAACAAACTTAATTCGATTCAGTTTTATTTCTATAGCGCCAAATCACAACAACAGTTGCCTCAAGGAGCTTTGTATTGTAAGACAAAGACCCTATAATAATATAAGGAAAACAAAGAAAACCCCAATAATCATATTAACCCACTCCCACCCCATGAGCAAGTGCCCTCATAACTAAGGGAGGATTCAGGGTCACCTGATCCAACTATTTGCTTTAGCAAAAAGGAAAGTTTTAATCCTAATTTTAAAAGTAGAGATAGTGTCTGTCTCCTGAATCCAAACTGGAAGCTGGTACCACAGAAGAGGGGCATGAAAACTGAAAAAATACTCTAGGAACAACAAGTAGGCCTGCAGTGGGAGGTATAATGCCTCCCACAAGCTGACCCCCCCACCACACAGTAACTTCAGTGTGTTAAATGAAAGCATGCTTAAATGTGATGAGAGACAAGTGTCAGTAACTGACTGTTCCCTTTTTTTGTAAAGTAAACTATAGGGACATGCCATCTCCTGCCAAAATAAAACCGAACAGGCTACGAAACTGCAATCGGTCCCAAGACCTGGTAAATGGGCTGGTTCTTATGAAGGGTGGGTCTACTCTACTGGAGCAGTCAAACCGCTTTATACAGATTGCCTCATTCACACAAGCACTTTCCCCCTTGTCTTGCCTAGGAATACTTTGGCATGCAGACTGGAGCAGCTAGGGATTGAATCACCAACCTTCCAATTAGTAGATTACCTGCTTTACTTCCTGAGCTGTGTAATCCAGACCCTGGAAGGAAGTAGGAAAATTTCTTCATGAACCAAACTTATTTGATCAGTGTGCTACATCTAAACTAACATGTGGACACGGACACCAATGTTATTTGTTCACTTCATTTCTTTTTTTGCTGATCCGAAAATTGATCCGATCCAAACCGTGAGAATTTTGATCCGTGGCACCACTACCAGACAGTAAAGCTAGTTCTCAGCTACGAGCCCGACATGGAACACGACATATTAGCCAGACGCTCCTACGGCTCGGAGCTGCAGAGCTGGCCG